TTGTTTGGCAGGCCCACACTGGGTTCAAACCTGCCAGCTCAGGTGTATGTGGCTGGTGCCCTAGCCACTGAGCTACAGGCGCCGAGCCAGTGGCCAGCTTTTAAAATAGTTACCATCTCTTAAAAGCACCATGTTAAAAATAAAACCAATGACAGCTGAATGCTAGTTGAATAAATATCAAAAGAAAGTGCTTAAACAGTTCACTACAGAAGTGAAGCTTTTTAGTTAACTATGAGCAAGGAGGTAAAACATTAAATAAGCTAATTGTGAAAAACTATTCATTATTAAAATTTTCTGTGTTCAGTCCTAGATAAGACAAACTACTATGAAAGTAATTTAGCCCTCGCCAAGTACTCACATTTTTAATAACAAATTTATTCCAAATTGTTCAATTATGATACTTTATTTTGTCAAACTTTTATTTTGATAACTCATATAACCTAATGCTTTTATGTTACCACCAAATGAGGATTACTTTTCCTAAAAATCAAATGATCAAGCATTATAATCATTAAAACTCAAAAATATATTTACAGAAAAATGAGCCAAGTTTTTGGCATGTTCCATAATTATTTAAAAATAACATTTATAACATTATTTTCATTTTGTATAGATCTTTTTCAAAGGAAATTTACATATAATGTATTTGCAACTTATAATAGCCATAAAAATTTTGCAACTGCTTAAATATTGCCAATAGCAAGTGGAACTAAATCTCAGGTTTCTTATCTCATAGACTGCCTTCTTTCTTCATGCCATTCTTTCTTGAAAACTGAATGTGAAAATTTATTCGATTTCAAAATACAGTGTTAGTCATACAAAAAAAGGGAAACTATAAAAGAATATTTATGCTCATGAAATCAAGCTAGTAGTATGTATACAGTCATGCAACACATGACAACAATTTGGTCAGCAAAGGAATGCACATACGACAGTAGTCCTATAAGATTATAATGAAGCTGAAAAATTTCTATCAATTAGTGATGTCTTGATCCTGACCCTGTGTATACCTGCCTAAGCCAATGTGTTTGTAAATATTGTTTGAAAAGTAAAAAAATTAAAAAGCTTATAGAAAAATATAAAGAAAATATTTTTGAATAGCTACACAGTATATTCATGTTTTAAGCTAAGTATTATTACAAAATAGTCAAAGTTAACATTTTATAATTTACATATTTTAAAAGTTACACTAATCTAAGGTTAATTATTGAAGAAAATTTTTTTATAAATTTTAGTATAGCCTAAGTATCCAGTCTATCTAAGTATAAAGTCTACAACAGTGTATAGAAATGGCTGAGGCCTTCATATTAACTCACCACTCATTCACTGACTCACCCAGAGCACTTTCCAGTCCTACAGCTCCATTCATGCACAAGATAAATGTACTATTTTTAATCTTTTTTACTGTATGTTTCCTGTTTTGATATATAAATACCTACCATTGTGTTAGAATTGCTTATAATATTCAGTACAGTAACATGCTATACAGGTTTGTAATCTAGGAGCAACAAATAGCTAGGTTTGTGTAAGTATACCCTATAATGTTCGCACAACAATGAAATTGCCTAATTATGCATTTCTTAGAATATATCCTCATCATTAAGTGACACAACACTATAGTTTTTAAAGTTTCTGGAAGAATTCTCTCAATCACGCAGCTATAGAGTTACATGTACATAAATTATTTAAGTATATTCATCAGTCTCCAAAAATACTCCCCAAAGAGTAATTTTAATTATATCAATTTGAAAAATAAACAATATGAAAAAATGTTCTGGTCTACAAATACATTCCACAGATAGCATTGTTGAATACGATAGCTACCAGTCACATATAGCGATTTAGATTTAAGTTAGTGAAATTAAAAACAAAAAACTAAAAATGCAGTTCCTTGGTCACACTAGCACACTGTAAATGCTAAATAACCACTATAATTACTGATTATTGGCTGACATATAGGGCAACACAGCGACAGAACATTTCTATCACTGAAGAAGTTCTCCTGGAGAACAGTGTTCTATGTATTTGATCACTGATTTTTAACAGTGGTTATTTTAGCCAAAGCAAACCTGGAAGATGGCTACTTTGTTTTTTAAATCTATTCAAAGCTGATGCTTAAGAAATCATAGAAAGTGAACTAATTTGCACTCAACTTGTTGAAATCAAATTTATATTTGATGAATGCTTTACCATTTCAATTGGGAAAATAACACATAGTAGCAAAAGTTTGTCCCTTTGATTTCAGCAACTAGCCTGTTATTCTGCCCACTAATCTAGGATAGAATTTTAAAACCAGCGCTACTTAAACCATTGCCCCTGGGTGTTTGTAAGAATGTCTAACAAAAGGGTTCTATGGTCAAATAAATTTGGAAAAATGTGTGTATTATACCTCTTCTACCAATATACAACACAATTAGCATTTCAAAAACTCAAACGCACACATTTTTAAAAGGGAGCTTAACTTTTCCTTATATGATTCAACAACACAGATTTTACCAGTAGGCTTGTTAAAATCCTGCAAAACACTATTCTTAACAGACAGCTTGGAAAGAAATACAGTCCTCAATAATTTATATCGTACATAATATGAATAGCTTGCTCTGCAGATACTACACTTGAGAGGACTCTTCTTTTCTAACTGCCTTCACTTGAGATGACCAGGGAAGAGAAACATATACCTGAGCAATACAGAACTAAAGCCTGTCTGTGACAACCGACTACTGGTTTGCTTTTAAAAACTACCTGTCTGTGAAAAAGGATACCTACAGGTAGAAAGAGTCTTTTTTTATTTTGATTCCCCAGAATTCTTCAAACTCAAGACCATCAAACTTGCTCTCTAACCTCTAGACCCATCTTCCCAGCTCTAACCTGTATGAGGACCACTTCTTTGAGTAAAATAGAGAGACAGCAATCTTACCCTACAGGACTTAAAAAGTTCCAAAACAAATACTTTGAAATTATTTTTGGCTAGGTCAACTAAGGAGCTTAAAACACTGGGTGCTTTTGTTACTTATATCTTTATTCACACACAAGGAAGGGCAAACGTGCATTTCAGCTTTATTAATTTCAAAACATTTCAAATTGACTCCTAGCAACAAAAAATATCTTTTTCAACATGCAAACTCTAAACTATTTCCCTTAAACCCCAAAACAAAAAAATTCAATCACATCATGAAATTTTTTACTCTTATTTATAACTTTAAAAATCCATTTTTACATGGTCAAACTTGGCATTGAAATTTACTATAGATTACAACTGATTATGGAAAATTAATATCGACTGCAAATTATTTAATAGTACTTATGGCAATGATAAATCTAGCAAGAAATGAGATAGAACTAGCTAAAGATCAATGATACTTGAAAATTATGAATACAGACTGATCTTAATTATAAAATCTTTTTTAAATAGGTAATGACAAGCCACCCTTCATTATTTACAAATATGTCCTTTAGAGATTTGGTTTTCTTTTGAGTAATAAAAATTAAACTTTTAAAAAATTTTTTCATTTAAAAAATTATTATAAAAGGTCT